GATAAATCATAGAATATTGAATATTAATCGAAGATAATTTAAGCAGTAATTTATTAATCTTTATGAAGCCCTATGTGTGAATATAAACAAAAATTCCTCAAAAAAAAGTTAAACAGAAAATAAAACCTTTAAAATCGTCCAACCATAAAATTTGTTGCAATCGCAAGCCACACAAATAAACCAGAACATGCACGATACGTATACACACATGCACACAAGCGCATTTACACATACGTTCATACACACACATACATGCATGCGTGCATACACATTTGAACGTACATTAAATTAACAAATATAAAAATAAATATTTCTTGCAAATGACAGCGCGGCGCAAGCCACGTGTCGCCGCAATTGCAAACAAAGTCTAGCCTTGCGGCATGTATTGTGCGAAAGCAGCAAAAAAAAAATAAACAGAAAACTTTTCATGCAAGACAAAACAAAAATACAAGTCGCATACTGATGACCAGTTTGCAGAAAAACAAATAAAAATTATTTGCAGAGCAAATTTTTTTTGGCGGAGCGCATGCCACGAGTGGACGCTGTCGCGTCTGAATAATGAATGCCGTTTGGCAAAGTGCTAAGCAAGTACTTGGGTAAAAAGTATCGATTACTTCTTGTACGGCGCTGCACAACACTGGCTGTGAAATTAACAGAAAAATGTTTGGCATGTGCCATTCGCTGGCATTGTGCCCACTTTAAACAATGCGATGCCCACTACACACACACACACTCAAGTGCGCTGCCCGCATATACGTGTGTATATGTGTGTGTGTAGAAAACTACATGCAGTTGTGCTGTTGAAATTCGAATTCATATTATGATGCATGAGCAGCGGTGGCGGCGGCGGCAGCGGCAGCTCGTTCAACCCCCAAGAGGAGCGTCGGGCGCAACGAGAAATGGCTTTGTCAACGATTGCAAAGGAGACTAAGCAACTACGGGCCCAGGATCAGCGGGCGACGGCGGCGGCGCTGAGCATGTGATTAGATTCAGTTTCAATGGAAATTGAAATCAGAGACAAAGCGGAGCGCAGCCACCATGCCCAGCTGGGTTTTGGCAGGGTTGCAAAAAGTGTACGGTAAAAGCGTTGCCAAGAAGAATGAATGATTTTTTCGGGCTGCAGCCGTAGTAGTAGTTGTACCCGGGGCATTAAGAGTGCTACGGCCAGTGATTCATTGGGATTTCTGGCTGTATTTCTTTTTTTTTTGCTGGTATTGGTTGAGGACAACCACTAAACGTCAACCACCAACGTCAACGGCAGCGAGCCGCGGCACACATTCATGCTTGCGTGTGTTTGTGTGTGTGCGTGTGTGTGTGTGTGCTGTGAGCGCTCGTAATATTCTTTCGCTGCCGAGATTAACACCAGGCAACGCACAGACGCCGGCAAGGCAAAAATTATAATTCGGGCCGCGTCGCTGGCGTTGGCAGCATCAGCAGCAGCAGTAGCGGCAGCGGCAAATCGGAAAATCGTTATACGTTGAATATACCACAAAATCGCGGTCGGCAGCGGCAACTCCACTGTGTTGTTTTGGCCGGCACCCGCAACTCCTGGCGCTCCTCACACTCGCGCATCGAATTCGAAGCCTGCCACAGCGGCAACGGCAGCAGCAGCAGCCGCATTTTAATTTTGTGGTGCGTGCGTTTTAATATATACACATACATTTATACATACATATACATATATACATACATATAAACGGATTTCTTTGCTATTTGGCCTCTCGCTCTGGCGCTCGCTGCGTCGTGTTTTGTGGTTAATTTAAATAAATAATCCTTAAAGTGCGGCTTACATTTACAGTCAGTGCATGTGGCATAATAAATACGCGATAATAAAAACAAACAATGCACAAATAAATAAATAGTTAAAACAGAATTAAATATTAAATACATATTTTTAAATATACATTCAAAATAAATATTTGTATAACCAAAAACTAGTTAAAAACTAGCTTATTTAACTTTTAATGTAATTATAGGCAAAGCGCCATCTGTGTGTAGCTTTGTGAAAGCCTAAACATTAACTTAAAACTGCTTCTTAGTCAACCTAATTAATTGATTATAAAACAAAAACTTAAAAATTGAAAAGTATGTTTATATTTTCAAGCCTGTACAATTACATTTAATCCTAAATATAGACAAATGTGCAAAGAAAAGTATTTAAAAATATACGAATGAAATAAAATATGTATTCAATATTAAATTGAATAGATATTAAACACATACTCAATATTAAATATATAAATTCAATTATCAATTTAAAAATATTCGAGATACAATAAAATGTAAATTAAAAATTGTTTTTGAAATTCAAAATAAATAAATAACCCAAATAAAGGAACAATAATACATAAAATTATATTAGTCAATTTCAAAATAATGAATATTTTTAGCAATATAATAAAGCCTCATTTAAATAGGCGAACGTTTCCAGCATACACAAAACGCCTTCTGGGGCAAAGCTTTTTAACAAGCTCGAGTTGTCGCAGCTGCCCGCTAGCTGGCGCTGCATGTATTATGCTGACAACCCTGCTTAAGTGCTCTGTTAGCGAAAAATATATCGAGGCGACTACCCTGTAATTACACATTCGGCTGCTCAGCATTTAAATTGTTTTTGGCATTTTTGCAGAATAAACACTCTAAATGGATCCCTCGAATTTGGCTTTTGGATTCCCGGGTCTGCCCGGCCACGGACACATGCCCATACCGCCCACGGCCAATATGCTTGGCGCGCACGGACATCCAGCGCCCACGGCCAGTCCGCCGCAGAGCGTGCCCGGACGTCGCACACCGCTCGGCTCCGTGGGCCTGGGCGGTTTCTATGCCCAAGGTCTGGGCATGTCGCAGCAGAGCATGACGCCCACGGATGAGAATAAGCCCGGGCCCAGTGGGAGCGAGAAGCCTCTGAGTCCCACGGCTGCTGCGATTGCGGCTATAAGCGGCGGCACGACCACAGCGGCCATGTCCAGCATTGGCGGTGGCGGCGGCCCAGGTGGCAGCGGCCCGAATGGGGGCAAGCAAAAGAATCGTCAGGGCAAGACGGTGCGACTGAATATCAATGCGCGGGAGCGCAGAAGAATGCACGATTTGAACGACGCGCTGGATGAGCTGCGCAGGTAAAAAAGAAACTATTTTTCCTGACTGATTGATTGACTGATTGCTGGTTGATTGAAGCTAAAAGCTGATATAATTATATTTTTAACCCCTTGCAGCGTGATTCCCTATGCGCACTCGCCCTCAGTGCGTAAACTATCCAAAATTGCCACCTTGCTGCTGGCCAAGAACTATATATTGATGCAGCAGAATGCGCTGGAGGAACTGCGCAGGTAAGTCCTACGAATAGAATTTTTTACAAAAACAATCTTTAATCTTATGTAATTTACAGATTGCTTGCGTATATACAGAGCACCACGGGCGCCGCTCCCCTGGATTTGGGCGCCTTTCCGGCAGCGGCCAAGTTGCAAGCGCTGCTCGCCGGGCCACACCATGAGCCGCCCACAAGCAGCAGCAACAGTTAAATGTTGCTCCATTAGGAGAAGCTGTTTACCATTAACAAGAGCGAAGCAATACGTCTATATTTAAGTCAATTGAAGAGCCAAATAATTGTGTACTAGTCAGGCCAGAAGGTTGAGCATCTGTTAAGTGATATTTAGTTCTTTTATAAGCATTCCCTTTATGCATTTACTTATATATATATAATGTCTGTATAGATTGTAAGGCGAATGTAATCAGTACGCGCAATAAAATACATTCTAGAACAACCAATCGGAGAGAACAGGGCGTATCTGACATGGCAAATGGTGTGATTAAATTCGATATTATTTTAATAGGCTCTTTTGCCCTTTGAGGCAGAAACCAAGTTCGTGGTTGAGCTGAGAGGTCTGATGTGAAAGCAATTAAATTCTTATATATTTATGCCAGAAAATTAACATGAATGATTGCTTATTGGGCCCTACGACTGGGAGTGAGAGTACGCCTTAATCTCAAGCAGACAACAGTTTTTGTAGACATGTAAAAATAGACTCTGGCATAATTTATTCGGTATATAGACTATCTTTGGCATTTCTGGGGGCAGCTATCACGCCGAAGATTTAATATCCTTGTTGACATTTGCCTTACGGGTTTGCGAATATTTGAGAATAGTGAAGCTCGAAAATGCTGAGTTTGTTGAAAATATCTTGTAAAACAAAATATTTTGCCATATATACAGCTAAATGATATGACGATAAGATTTTGCATATATGTAAAACTTATTAATGTCGATTTTGGTCAAGATATCTTATTTAAAAGAATTTACTTTTAGAACGATCATTTCTGTGGCAGCTATATGATAAAGGGGTCCGATCCGGACGGTTCCGATATATGTAATGCCCGCAACAGAAAGACGCCCGATACAATCAAAACGATAGCTTTTAAACTGAGAGACTAGTTTGCATAGAAACAGAGAAACGGACGGACAGACAGACAGACGCACAGGCGGACATGGCTATATCCACTCGGCTGTTGATGTTGATCTGGAATAAATATACTTTATGGGGTCGGAGATGACTCTTTCTATGCTTAATACATTTCAGGACAAAATTAAAGTAGCCTCTAAAAGGGTATAAAAAGAAAATGGTTTTTATAGACATGCAAAAAAAGCTTCAGTTTAGTATAATTTATAGTTGATATAGACTAGCATCTACATTTCCGGAGGTAGTATTTGGGGGACTGGACTCAAATATTTGTAAGCCACAAAATAAAAATAAAAAAAAATGTACTAATATCTATTCTAATATCCCTAATTCTAATATAAATCAGCTAGATAAACTTTTGTCATTTAAATTTCCTCTTTAGCGTAGCTCCACTGTATTCGCACACGCCATTAAAATTGTTGCTGAATCATGCGTTTTGTTTAAGCACAATAAACATTTAATAACATTCAATAATCAGACATGTAAAACAGGCAATTAAGTACTAAATCGCTAAAACAGCAATATAATCAAATACACAAATTGTCTATATATATAAATATATATGTGTGTATGTGCACAATCTATATAGGTGTAAACTGATGATGAAAACAAAAACACTGATTAACACTTTTACTTAAATGCTAAGAATATGAGAATACTCGAATATGCGAAATAAATAAATGTATGTAAGACAAGCGCAGCGGGACGGCTTGGTAGCGAGCTCTATTTAAGTAGGAAGTAATCCCAATGCCGATCAGTCCGGTATGCCCGAGGACAGTACCTTGTTCTGACCCGTACGAAAGATGCATTGGGATGCCGGCAATTGGCCAATCAGGAACTGACGCATTTGCTCCACCGCATGACGCGAATGGCCAGTGCCATGGAAGGCAATGGTGGCATCGCGACCCGCATGATCCATGATGATATCGTCGCCGCCGGGATGTTCGCGCAAAAAGTGCGTCACATCGTAGACGCGATCGTAGATGACAATCCAGCAATCGTCGTAGCTGTCATGATGCGCCACCTCCTCGAGCGTAATTTCTGGCGCATCGATCCTGCCTTTGGCCTTCTCCACGCTGGGCAGAATGATGACATCGCCGGCTTTACCGGATTTGCTAACGGCTGCGAGTGGTCCAATACGCAACGTTTGCAGCAGATTTGTCAATGCCGATGCCATTTGGTTCCGGTAGTTGGTATATTTTGCAATCACTAGACGGTCTGAACTTTCGCTTTTTTTTTTATTTATATATATATTTATATTTTTTTAATATATTATCGCAACGACGTCACCCGCGTGCCAATTGGAGCGTCAAGTAGTCAAAGTCCCTCACTCTCTCTCTCTGAGCATGTCTCAGTTTTAGTTTTGTTTTTTTTTTGTTTAGTTTTCAGTTTGGCTGTCCCACAACAGGTCCGGTTTAGCTGCGCCTCGTGTGGCTACTGGCGATCGAGTGTCGTTCGTGCCGTCGGCTGTAATCGCTTTATAAGTGGCAACACGTGAATCTTGGGCTCGCAACGAGCGCTGATAAGGCTTCCAGCGGCCGACCACAAACTAGCGACGGCTGCCCAGACAAATTGTTACATATCTGTTGCTATAGCTAACTATTATTTTTTATTTCATCATCAAATTTATAGAGCTTGTCCAAGCTATAAACTCGAAATAGTTGACGTGAATGTAGACCCAAAGGTTTAGGTATATAAAATAAACAGGGAAATTCGGAAAAATTTAAAAACGAAATTCGCATTTAATGAAATTACCCAAAAAAAATCGAAGGGAAATTCGGTCAAACTTAAAAGGAAATTCGCAATACTACTGTGTGCAATAATCGAAAGGAGATTTGGTAAAAATTAGAGGGAAATTCGATTTCAAAGAAATTTCTCATATATCATATACTGAAGGGAAATTCGTCAAAAATTTAAAGAAAATTGTATGAAAAAAATTTAGATCTAAAATTAAAAGGAAATTCGCAAAAAAATTTCCTAACAATTTAATACTATTGTATGAAAAAATCAATGGGAAATATGGCTAAAATAAATGGAAAGCCGCCTAAAAGAAAATTTCGTAGAAATCAAATACTGTTGGGGAAAAATTTAAAGGACACTCAAAGTCTAGAAATCATACACTCTTGTATAAATAAAAGAAAATTAAAATACGAAGAATCCCAGGGAAATTCGCTAAATAAATTGAGGCAAATATCAGGAATCTAATCTTACTTAAATGAAATGTACGACGAAATTCATTCATTCATTCGAAGAAAAGTACATCTGTGAGAGCGCTTAACTAAGGGTAGAGATCTTTGTTAGAACTTAAGGAAAATCAGGGAAATTTTCTCAATTCAAAGATAGAAACTAAAGGGGTATTTACAAGACACTCGTGTCAGTATTTGGGACACTAAAAAGGGCATTTTAGTTGTTAAATCAGCTTTAGATCAATTTGATAAAATAATTTGGATAGCTGCAAGTCTTACATAGCAACTATTTATTCTTTATTGTAAAATTTCAAATTTTGCTGACAGCACAAGATTCAAAGGTCATATACCATTGAGTCTTATCGGTTTTTACAATTGATTAATTGCGGGCAATAAAAACTGCATTAAAATGATTTACATATTACGTTTTTTTTTTTCATTGACTTAACATTGCACCAGCATATATATAAATTTATAAAAATAAAACGGCTCTGTTTGTGTTTACAAGATTTATTTACTTTTTAATAAATGACTAATTAAACATTTGCAGCGATAATATATATAATATATTGTAAGCATTTACATAAACAAGCTCTGTGCAGATTATTAATTGAATTTTACCGAAATTTTTATAATTGTGACGCGCGTCAGAATGGGCAACAACCTTATAATATAGGGAGCTCCCGACTAGGGGTTACCCTGAACTTTCTTCTACCAACTGTCTTTAAAAAAATAGCTTTAAATTGAAAGATCGTTTATCATAATATACTATTCTAGAAGCTGCATGTCAAATTTGGTGACTTTCGGTCTTAAAACCTATAAGATTTGCTCAAAAAACAGGATATCGATATCGATTCTTATCGGGAAAAGTTAACTATTATGAACAATAAACTCGTAATGCCCGGGCACCAGGAGGACCTACATTCAAGTATGTAGCTCTTAAAGGTTTCAATGGGTTCAGTGTATAAAAAGTATTCAAATTTGTTGATTTAAAAGCTATTAATCTATATATTACAAAGTTGCCACACAGACATAAAATGCACTACGCAATTCAGCAAAATAATTAACAAAAATATTTGTAATCAAAAATGCCACATTCTAGAAAATATTTTTGTAAAACGTAATGCTCCAGACATAAAAATTTCCCCATAAATAATTCGTTATAATATACGCACATAGCTGACGCCTGTGCTGATAGTGTAAGAACTGAGTAAACTTGATATGTTCAGAAATCGAAATCAATGTTAAGATCAACAATTGTCAATCCAGTGCTGGGGCTTCAGCTTAGCACTTGAATGGAACCACAAAAGTCAGTGCGTAATTTTAATCGAAAGTTGGACGCGTATGTCTCTTAAACTGGGTTACCCGACTTGACTTTGACTAGGAGGTCAGCATGCGCATGTTTGCCAACCGCAATCATATCATGTTTCGTGTTTGAACTTGAGATAATATAAAGCCAACCAAGCATTTAATAAGCTTCCAACTAATTCACAATCCTATCGAAATGATTATATAATTGAATGACAGGCAATGCACAGTTTTAGATTTCGGGAATATGCGTGCCACAAAAAAAGTGTTTGAAAGTAGATAAGGCCGAGATTCCAGACTAATCGACTCTGAAATACCCTGTTAGAGTATTGATATAGTATAAAGGGCATATATTTAGTATATAGGTATAGCAATGCATACTTAGTTTTGGGTTTCGGGAATATGCGTGGCAGACAAAAAGAGTTTGACAGTAGATAAGGCAGAGATTCGAGAGAATTCGACTCTGAGATACTCTGTTAAGGTATTTGTATAGTTTATTAAGGGTATACATGGTATATACATGATTAATTTTTACTTTAAAATCGCGAAAAACTTTTGTGTGAAACTTATTTGTTTACCATCCGATCAAAGCTTCCTCGGTGGAGAGCGCGATTCTAAGAAAGTTTTTATGTTTACCGTCCGTCGGCTTCAAGCTCATTTTCAAAGATCTTTGAGAGAATTTGTTTTATACGTACCGCGGACAAGGCCGGGTTATGCCCGTTAGTAGTATATAAACTAATTCACAATCCTATCATAGTTATTTATAATTTAATGACAAGCAATGCACAGTTTTAGGTCGTGGGGAATATTCGTGCCCCAAAAAAGTGTTTGACAGTAGATAAGCCTGAGATTCGAGCGTAATTATCTCTGAGATACCCTGTTTATATATAGCACAGCAGAGCAGTGCTGTTTTTAACATAAAAGATGTTTTTTCTGTGCTGTATAGGGTATAGTTGGTGCCCTGCACAGATTACGTAGCCTTATCAAAGACTTGCGAACAATGAAATTTAAATGCAGCCCATTGTTCCGATTTAATGACAACGCATTTTTTTTCAAGTTCATTGCTTCTTGTAAATAATTTACTGCACTTTCTTGATAATGCGCAAGTCTTTATTGCAGCTTATTCAGAAAATATCCGTATACAATTAATTTTCTAGAACAGATTTTGTATTTATAAAAATCAATTTAATTTCATTTCTCTTCATTCGTTTTATTTTATTAAAATATGTTTATAAAATTTCATTCATTTTAATAAAATTTCAAAACAAAATTTTGTGTCCAGGTGGCAACGCCAAAAGTAACTGTAAACAAAGGAGCTTTTTGGCTTGTGCTTGTGCCGTCAGCTAGTTGACATTGAATTTCTTTGGCCGTGAGCGAGCTTTTGACTAATGTGACAGCTGTTGCTTATGCGGAAAGCTTTTGACCAAAACTTTTGATACGCGCAGCAAACGTTGCATATTTATTGGTTTTAAAATAAAATGCCGGTTCTTGGTGAGAGATTTTTAAAAGATAATATTCAAACAATATATTTGAAATTATTTAAACTACAAATACAATTTTTAGGTCTACAAAACTGATTTAGTCTATCAAAAGGTTCAAGATGCTAATATGTAGCTTGCATTTTAGGAAGCAAAACTTTCTGGCTGAGTGTGAGTGTGTGTGTGTGTGTGTGTGTGTGTGTGAGTGTGTGTCTGTGTTTGTATGAGGGAATACGGATAAAGGCAACTGCGTGTAAATTTTTGGCGAACAACAACACAGTCGAGTTTCAGCAACGCGTTGGCCAAGTTGTTGCTGCTCTCAAGTCGCATCCGCTAAAAAACATAAATATATATACAAAAATATATATATTATAATATACGCTTGTATTTATTTGCGAGATGTTGTCGAATTCGTTTAACCAAAGAGCGCTGAACTAATAGAATTAAAAATTAATAAACCTGCACAAATAAGGAAATTGCTTTTTAAACGCTGAACATTCAAAACGAACGGAATGCCGCGCTTTTAGAGCATATTGCGCATACGACACGTCGAGCGCCAGGATAAGCAAACATATTGTTGCGAAAAAACTTGTGCGTGCAGCTATTCGAGGGCCATAAATTGTTTTTGTTGCACACACACACACTGCTTAGCTGTTGTGCCCCGGGTGTGTGTGAGTGCGTGTGTGTGTGTCTATTCTGACCGTGTGTGACACATAGTAAATAAACGCAAATAACGGGTAAGTGCTAAAGCCTGGACTAAGCGCTTGCTTTGCGCAAGTATTTGTAGCTCCAAATTGAATTTAAAATTTAATGTAAACGGAATGCAGACTTGACAGTTGAGCTGAATATAAATATATTATATTATTATATAAATTAATAATATATATATAAATTTGAGTTTAAGTGGCTTAATAAGGTGGAAAGCTCGCCAAAATCCAGCATGATATAAATTCAATTGCTTATATATTTATTTAAATGTTTTTTTTACTGCCTGGATGTGACTTTTTAATATCGACTTTTAAAACTTTTAGTTAAGGGTATATTTATATATTTTTTAAAAATTTATTTCAAACATTTCCTTTGGGGGTATGTGTATAAATAGATAAGTTTTTAATGTTTTTATTGGGGGAATATTTTATAGTTTTTTCGAATAAGTTTTAGGCTTTAAAGTAAAAAGTTTTTAAAATGTTACTTCTTGCTTAATTTAGCATTTGTCAACATTTTTATCTGATTGATTAAACATTTAGAGTTCAGTTTAAAAAGCTGACAGATTTTTGTTCAGAGTTAACTGAAACTTTTCCAAATTAAATTTGATCTCGTTCAAAATATAAATTCTTGCAGCTTTTATTTCACATGAGTGCAAAAATATTTCAACAAAATAGATTTTTTGCATAGCCAGTTTTGTCGTTCTCAGAGAATATTAATTTGGCATTCAAAATACCAAATTTTCTAATTTGATTAGTGAACTTTCATGATTTTCGGTATAAGCTCAGTTTGAGCTATGTAAGTATTTTAAAACAAATATTTAAAATTTCTTCAAACATACAAAAAGATATATTTAAGTATAAATCATGGCCTAATTGCTTTGAATGCACATTTATTTCATTTTTATTTAATTGAGTACGACAAAAGAAAAATTTGTAAAATTTATGATAACATCGTTTATTGTCCAAAAACGTTGGCAACATCGATAAGCATAATTAATGAAATTCTTCAGTTAGACAGCAAAAATGTAATTAAAATTGTTATTTGTACAAAGTGTACATTAGCTTTGGGCTGTGTGCATTAAAATTTAATTCCAATTAATTGAAACGGCATTGCGTATAATCAATATAAATTGCACCTTTGGCAATGCCGAAAATAATTGAATATTTATCAGTTGATTACGGATTCAGGCGTTCATTCATGCAACACGCATACGCCGCGTGGGCGACAGCCTAACACAAATTCATAAATCCTACAGCAAGCAAAAAGGAGAAACACAACAAATACATATTTTTACACAATTTTACATTTCAATTTGTTCATATGAGAGTTGGGAAGGGGGCTGAAGGGGTTACACCCACATTGTTGTATAATGCTACCTTTCAGTGAGACCTCAGAGCAGAAATATGCAGGCGGAAATATGCCGTCATTCAGACTTTAAGCCCCTGTTTCAATTTACCCAACGTAGGAGTGTGTGTGTGTCTTGGCTGAGATTTCTGTGGAGAACACAAACGTGCCTTAGCCTGCTTAACCCAGCAGAGCATACAGAGGGCCAACTCTATTTACCTTGGACAGGCCACTCAAACACAGACACGCCCTTGAAACACTCACACTCGACCTTCGCACACAGAACGGCAACAGAACAGACCAGAACATAAGGGAGTGGAGCAGACAGAGGACTGTTGGCCAGGATCACGTTGGCCAACATATTGCGTTTTCAGTTCCAGTCAAAGAGGCTGCATTTTAGAAATTGCATGCATAATAGTCAAGTCTAAGCAGACCATGAATATTTATCACGTGTCCAGGATTAATGCATTTTTAATGCAAAAGCCACATACCCACAAGCCGCATTATCCGCCAAAGGACATTGTTGGCCTGGGGCGTGGCGCCAATAAAACCAGGGCAAACGGTGTGTGTGTGGGGGGGAGGGGGGGTGACGAAGGGAGGTACTGGGGATGGGCCACGCCTGAGGCAAAGGCAAAGCCAAAGGCAGCTCCTCAATATTTGTTGACATGCTGAGTTATTGGCAGGGCGGGTCACAAACTGCGGCTGCAGCTTTGGTCTTTTTACGCACACAGCCACAAACACACACACATACACAAATACATGCGTAAAGCTTGTGTATTAATAGCCCACTTATTATATTCCTTGTTGTTTTATGTCCGGCGAATGTTCTGTGTGCAAGCAACATGTGTACCGGGCATATTGCGCTTTAATGATCAAATTTTCGTATACACTACCAGAGGATATCATGAAATTGTTATGCCTTATCTCATGCATATACATTTATAAAAAAAAAAAAATTTGCGAAAATTAAAATAAATGAATTTACTGCGACGAAAATAATTATAAATTTCCTGTTTAATAAATTAAAATAATATTTCCTGCCAAGAAATTTTCAGCTGAGAAATTTATTTTAAATTTCCTGCCAGAAAAATTATAAATTTTTTATCCAAAAATATTATACTACATTTTCTGTTATAACAAAAATATCTTAGAAAATTATAATAAATTTCCTGTTAAAATATTATAAATATCCTGCCAAAAATAAATACTCAATATCCTGCTTAAAAATTAAAATTTGTGAAGAAAAAAAATTTCCATTTAAGAAAATTATAAAACAGAAAAAAAATTATAAATAAGAAAATTATCATTAACTCTAAAGAATATGATAAAAATAATAATAAATTTACTGCCAAAAATATTATGATAAATATCCTGCCAAAAAAAATTATAACAAAAAAAAAAGAATCGCAAACATTTAGAAATTCTAGACAAAATTTGAAAGTCACTGCTTAACAGTTTTAAAGTCAACAAAACAACTCTTTTCGAATGATTTAAGAGTATTTGCTGGTGTTTCTTTATGAGAGATATAAGTTATTTAAATCAGACTAGAAATCAGGCTAAATCAGCTATCTTTCATACGCACAAGCTATATTTAAGAAAATCACAAAAATACCCAACTATACCTTAAGGCAAGGGTATTTAAGCGTCGCTAAGCCTGCTCTCACTGGTCTTTGTTTATTTGTCTGCTTTTGGGGCAATGCTGCGCATATTACTTCGGCTGCCTCATTATTAAACTGCTGTTTATCTTGTTTTTGACAAGTTTTTCTTTTTTTTTTTTGGGGTTTTCTCTTTGTTTCTGTGTTGGGTTCCATTGGTTAATGGCCTGTGGCATATTGACATATGTTGGTTGGATTTTAATAGGCATTTGCATTTGCATTGCAGGTTTTTCTTTTTTTGCTTTTTCGTGGAATCAGTATTCACTTTTGGCCTGAGACTTGGCTCGAGAGCTGTTTCTGACAGAGGGAAATCAATATAAAATAAAACTTTTTTTTTTTTTTTTTTATGAATTTTCCACGAAAAACTTAAGAGCTGCGTCGCAAGCAGAAAGTTGACAGCTTAACAAACTTTGCGCAAAACTTTTCGGAATAAATTGTCGGGGCTCCCTTTTGATTATTTGCAAAACTAATTTAGATTATGCTCACACTTGGACACATAATGAATATCAATAAACACAAGGGTAGAGAAACTCTATCAAAGAAACATATTTTATGGAACATTATTTACTTTCTTTTTTCTGCTTAGCGAATGTTGATGGCTGATTCCGATATGACATGAACTAAGCTAAAAATGTTGTCTGGCAATATGTAGTACACAAAAGAGGACATATCTTATAGCATAAATTATATATAGATCACATCAGCAAATGCAACTGAGTCCATAAAGCCACTTTCGTCTGTTCTTCCATCTGTTTGTATGCAAACTATTTCCAGAAAGCTTTATTCGGCTTGTTTTTCAGATCTGGCTAACAATATCATATCGATTGTTATTTGATTTGATTCTTAGTTTTTTTTTTTTTTTAAGATATCCTTAACATACTCGGAATTTACATGCTAACCTTAAATCCTATGTTCTCACATTATTTAAGCAGCATTTTATAATTAGTTTAAATTGATTTCAAAAGCGAGATAGTAAGGTATCTTCGGCACTCCGAATACTTAATACCCTTGTAAACATATGCCTTGACTATGTTTATGAGATCGGAGATTTCCCCTTCTATGCGTTATACATTTCATTACAAAATTACAACAGCCTCGCCAAGAGTATAAAAAGTGCACCATATCTTTATCAAAATCATTCTTAGCTTAGCTTCATTTTAGTCTCAGCTAATACTCATAAGCATCGAGGCATTATATAATATAATTTTATATAGGAAATTATAAAAGGAATCGGAATTGAAATGTAGAGTATTTTAACTTCGGTACATTTTTATATTTTACCTTTTTTACCTACAACATTCACAAATTTGAAGCAAAATAAATTGAAATTAGTTTAACAAAATGCCGGCAGAGGTATGCAACACAAAATTTCCAAAAATTCCAATGAACTTATCTAATCCTACAATGGAATTAGTCAATATATATTTGTATATAAATGTACAAATATCTCCTTGGAGCCTTAGCTACTTATGACACTTGCCGGAGCTCAAAGCGAATAGGCCTTAAGTCAGACAAGCCATAAATATTCATTGGCGGCTAATTACACAAGTCTACGGCCCAGCTAGTTGTTGTTCCTATCGTTGTTGTTGTTGTTGATGCTGTTTTGGGGCCAACTGTTGAGAGTAGAGAACATAATGGAACAGTCAAAGTCAATGCCAATGGCGGCAATAATCAACTCGCAGCAGCAACAAAATGAACAACACGCAACAATGACAGCAATGTCAACGACTAGGGTAGTGGAGGGGAGAGGGGGTTCGGGAGGGCGATAATGATGTTGTTGCGAAGAAATACTATAGCTACGACTATATCATTATATGGGCATTACAAATTGCTGACGGCTGATTGCCCCGACTGTGGACTGCCTGGCAGCTCATGTTGATATTCTGAGTAGCATTTATCACGCTTGCCGTCGGGCTACTCGGGCGCATACTTAACGTCTGCTTTTATAGAGTTTCTGCGCATGTGAAGGATTAAATTTGCGCGTGTTGCCAGCCGGCAGCATTCACGGCTTCGCACCTAGCGGAATTCAAACAAAAGAAAAAAACAGGAAAAAAAAAACACTTTGCTACGTGTGGAAAGTCGTGTGTGCCACAAAAGTGGCAAAATAAAAGCTGAGCTGCTCATGATGCGGCTGCTGCTGCCGCTACCGCTGCTTTCAGCCAGGCCCACTTGGACCCGCAGCTTCCGCTCGGCGGTAATCTAATTATGACAATGCGTTCGAGCAAACAAGCTGGAAACTTTTGATGGCGACTTTTCCGCCGACTATGTGTCAGCCATAAAGTTCATATAAAAATAGAAATTTCAATAAAATTGCGGCAAACTATGCGAGAGAATAGCCAGCTCTCAACTAGCCTTAAAGTCTAGCTACTATTTTATGGCCAAAAGTTAAAGAATTTTTAAAAAAAATGTAAGTATATATTAAAAAGTTAAAGAATTTAAAGAAGGAAAGGAAAGGCAGTTTAATTATAGGAAATAATTAAATTTTATTACATTTAATACAAAACAAAATAAAGAACTTGGGCAATAAAATATGTTTTTTTAGAAGAAGACATCTCCGACCCCATAAAGTATATATATTCTACATCAGCATCAACAGCCGAGTTGATATAGCCATGTTCTTCTGTCCGTCTGCCTGTTTCTATGTGAACTAGTCTGAGACAAATGTTATCAAGTTCGCACTACCATATTATATAGCTCTATAGGCAGAAAATTGAGTTTTTATATTGCAAAATAGTCTGTTTTCCACCAAACTCAGCATTTTCGTATACAATAGTGTATACAATCTTCGGTGTGCTAATTATTCTGACAATTTTAATTTGTTTTCAATTTGTGTTTGTTTAATATTCAATTCTGACAGGAAATATTAAAATGAAATAAATTTAATGCGCATTTTATGAACTGACAACGAACCTAACACGACTTGGCTGATGCTTGCATTGGGTGTAGGGTATTAGCGCCCGACTTGATAACAGACTTGCAGCTGTGCCACAGACGCACCCCAGCAGAAAGCAACAGTAGGCGTGGGCGTGGTTGTTGCCGTGGGCGTGCTTGTGGGCGTGGTCGTGGGCGGTTCGTGTCGCTTCTTTGTGTGACAAACACTTCATTAGACTAATGAACATAATTTACCGTAATTGTGCAATTTGATGTCGCTAGCCGCTGGGAACTTCTGTTTTTCCACATATACATATATATATGCTTTTTAAGTTATATTAAAAAAAAGAATGGAAACAAATTGATAAACTGATGTTGAAATTGCTCGCGGCGCCGTATGAAATCAGAACAACAATGCGTGGTCGTGAACGGGAGGGGGGCGCGGGCGGGGGAGGGGTGGGGTAGGCATTGAACCATGCCCCTATCGATTAGATAAAATTAATTTTAGTCACTGAGTCAATATACAATATATATATTTTAGCAGAAAAGTGCGGCTGACAGGCAGCTGGCGATTTATGATTGGCCTTGACTTTGCCGCTGTCGCAGCCGGAAATAGTGCGGCCCGTTTATCTGTGTGTTGGCAGGAAAAAAGTGAAAAAAGTGAAAATATGCGATAAAAGCACGAAAATTGTTTATAAAATGCGAGAGGCCGCAACAGGCCAACAAACCACAAAAGCCGCAGTTTTCTGCATTCCAAATTTATGGCAACTGTGATAAATTTGCGGTTGCCATGTATCCATATAACAAAGTAAAAAAGATTGTCAGCTAAAAGGCTGTAAAATACATTAGAGTTTCCCCCATGGTTGCCACAGAAACTGCGCAACATGTGCCAGGCATCACAATTTGTAGTCTGCAACCCGACATTCGAGGCAAGGAGGTGATTAGAGAGCGAGACGGGGGGAGGGAGGGTGTGTGTGTGGCACGTTGGCTTGACATCGATTTACAGCACCGCCCACGATCTGATCAATTTGACATGATTGGTTTAGTTGAGATTTATTAACTAGGACGAGGGCCGGCACCAGCCCTACAAATTATGACCTGTTGAGCTCAGGTTAACTGATTGATTGATTGATTGACTTGATAATTTTATTGATTTTGTCTGGCTTTTAATTCACATAGTGTGGCAATGCATTTACTGATTAAAGCTACATTAAGTAAATATTTGCAGCCAAGTTATTTGAACTTGTTGTGCAAAATGATTGCTGGGCTAGTCGGGAGTATTGATTGACAGAGCTTACACAATCAATTCTATTTTGTCAGCATCGATGGTTTTTCTACTCTGTATATATCTTATATAGGACATTTATTTACGAGTATCTCCCATCTCTGGATCTTCTTCTCTGCCTTTCTCAAACATCTTTAGGAAGAGAAGTTTTATTTTTACCTAACCACAATGTTAGTAATGACTGGAAAGGAATAAAACCAGAAAATATGGTTGCCTTTGGCACGTCGAAGTTTAAATACCCTTGTAGACATTTGCCTTACAGCTTTGCACACACTGAAGCTCGTAAATGCTTAGTTTGATGAAAATATCTTGGAAAACAAAATATTTTACCATACAAAAACTCTATTTTCTGCCTATAGAGCTATATAATAAGGTAGTGGAAACTTGATAACATTTGTCTGAGACTAGTTCACATAGAAACAGGCAGACGGACAGACGAACATGGCTATATCACCTCGGCTGTTGATGAGGATGTAGAATATATATACTTTATGGGGTCGGAGATGTCTCCTTCTGTGCATTACACACTCAATGACAGAACTATAATACCCTCTAAAAAGGGTATGGTAAGGTTAAAGAAATACATTTTAAGAATGAAAAAACTTTGTGTGTATGCCAAATGTGGTACTATGTACAAATATATTAAAAATCTTCACATATTCAGAGATTCGGCCCCTAAAATAGCACCAAATTTTAGGCAATAAAAATGTATAACTAAATAAAAACAAAAAAAAATATATATAAATTAAGCATGTTCTTTCCCAAGCTGAAGCCACATAATTGAAATTATGATTGGGGTTTGAGCTTGCTGAATTTGAAATGAAATATGAATATTTAAAACTCGTGAATCATTGAGCCAACCTCGCTCGACCTGCTTTACTACTAGGTAGGCATCACACAAAGGCTTATAAATCATGTAGAAACTTGCAAAGAAATCCTCTGTGGGTTATCGTATTTCACAAAAACCCACACACACACCTACACACACACACACACACACCTACGCACACTCGCAGACCTCTTTCAATTGCTGTCTCAAAGAAACCTCACAAAACGTTAACATAAATAAATAACCAACTTGAAAGCAAATTGCATGAAAAATAAAAATAAATCAGAAAAAAAGTAAGCAAAAAGCTGAATTTTTTAATGAAAAAAAAACTAGGTAACGGTTCAAAGTGTTAATTAATTAACAGAAAGCCCATAAATTGAGTATTTAAACAGTTTTAACCAACAAAAAAGAGGGGCTCTGCTTTGTATTTCACAGCATCTTCCAGTTGGAGGCGCCTGTTTGCGCAGCTAATTGCAAACAAGTCCCCCTCCCTTCCACCTGGACACACTGCTACACCTGCTGCTTGGCACCTTTTGTGGCAGTGTCCTTGCCTCGACGCACAGGACAGCTGTCAGCACGTGCTGCTGCGGCCACAGTCAGGTCCTGGCATTGGCCACAATGGCGCCTTAAGCAGCGCAATTAATAACCCAAAAACCTGTGCCTCGGCTTTAGGGGTAAGGGTTGGTTGAGGCAGGGGTTGGGGGCGCGGCAAATGCGGGTTACGGGTTACGGCCTGCGTTGCCTTGATTTATTTATAAGCTGCCCCATTCTGTGACTTGACCTGATAATGAAAGTTTTATGTCCATGCGGTTGTGTTGCCATTAGGCGCCTTTAGTTCCGCAGGACAACAACTAATTGAGTCTTAACTTGTGCTTAACTTAGCTAATCTTAAGGAGAGAGGGTATTTCAATTTGTTCATGCAATTTGCTACGCTTTAGGAGAAGCATCTGCTGTTAGTTCAAAGCAGGGCTTCGTCTAAGAGATTGCTTGGTGCATCCGATACTTCATATTAAGAAGCCCATTTGTATTTGTTATTCAACTTGCCAATATTACCTTCTCTTTTATTTTCTTGTACTCTCAGCGACATGGATATTGTCATACGTGAGGAGGAGCTATCGCTGACGCAGATTGGCGTCTATGCCTCTGTATCCTTTCTGGTGGTGTCTGCGGTGGGCGCGGCATTGTACACCACCTGCTCGAAACGCTACCGTCTCAACTGGTTTGAGAAGAATTTACTGGAATCGGCCAGCGAGAAGGACGAGGAGCAGCAGAGGTAAGTACGCTCTCCTCCAACTCCCGTTCACTTATTCTTGACAGAGCTTCTTGTTGCAGCCGCGAGGCGCTGGTTGCCGGCGCCGTGGGCTACAATGTGGACAATTTGCATGAGGGTGTGCCGCGTGTCAAGCTGGGCCACAATAATGCGGGCAACCTGAGCCCCACTTCGCTCAAGTCGGAGGATGCCGATCCGGCCTTTTGGGTGCCCGCCACGGTGACATCCTCGACGGCGGCCGTGCAGCAGCAGGTCTCGAATACCACCGAGGAATCGGCACCGCCCACGCCCACTTCGCCCACAGGTAGCCTAAAATCGAACACACTCTCCCTCTGCTCGACCACATCGGTGCCCATTGCCCGCTCCGATAAGCACGTGGTGCTGGCCATGCATCCCAGCCGGCCGCGTGTCTCCTCCATGAACGCCAAGCTGGATCATACCAAAATCGACATGACTCTGTACCGCAGCGTAAGTAACTGCAATTGGATTTAGACTTCCAACGAGTTGCTATCTCTTATCGCTTTTGGCAGCATACGCAGCCGAAGCCCGTGTGGCCCGCCGCGCCGATCAACGAGGTGCGTGGAAATTTGCACATTTGCCTCGGATATGATCCGGTTGGTGGTTTGCTCAATGTGCGTCTCCTGGAGGCACAGAATTTACAGCCACGCCAGTTCAGCGGCACCGCCGATCCCTATGCTAAGATACGCTTGCTGCCGGACAAGAAGAACTTTTGGCAAACGCGCATTCACAAGAAGACACTGAATCCAGGTGAGAATTGATATAATCTACTTGTCCTGGTCACCTTTACATCCCAATTTGTCCCAGCAGTTACCTTATTCACATTATAAACTCAATTAGACATTAGTTGTGGTTAATTACTGAGATTTAGTACACAAAATGATTTTCCACCCAATTTCCACTATGATTAGTGGAATTACCAAATGGTGAAAAAAATCAAGTTCAACCGCGCAAAACCGGGCAGAGAAATCATTCCAGTGGAAAGCATATGGTTTATATTTTCTAATATAATTCTCCATATAATTTGTTGATTAAGCTCTAAGCTCTATGCAATTTGTATAAAATTTGAGCGAAAAAAAACCTAATACATGCACAAACGGGTATAGCCACATATTTTAAGAAATTCATTACCGTGGATGAAATACAGGGTGAAATATTGGTGAAAGTCAATTTATGTCAGAGCATCTTCAAGAAAAGCAATTCACTGGGTGAAAAATTGGTTAAATGTTGGTGAAAGTTCAATATACATGAGATCTATATATCTTCATACTTATATGGATTGATATTTCATGGATTACAAGTGAAAATCTGAGGGCTCTATATTGGCAATTCTCATATTTAAAGAAAAAAGAAAATTTCTGGTGAAATACAAATGAAAATTTGAAGGCTAAAAATTGACAAGAAATCCATTTGGATCGACCAAAACCGGTTGATTGAGTTTTTAACTTCAGCTAATCTTTGAATTCCTTACTCCAAACAGTTTTCGATGAGCACTTTGTATTTGAGGTAACCGCCGGGGTCATCGACAAGCGCAGCTTGGAAATTTTGCTCTACGATTTCGATGCATATTCACGCCACGTTTGCATTGGCGGCACCAAGCTACATTTGGCCAATTTGGATCTGAGCGAGCAGCTGAAACTCTGGACACCGCTGACATCGGCCTCGGCACAGGACATGAAGGTGGATCTAGGCGATATAATGGTCTCGCTGGCTTATCTGCCCTCGGCGGAGCGTTTGATGGTGGTGCTAATAAAGGCACGCAATCTACGCATTGTGGACGATGCGCGCAACTCCTCGGATCCGTATGTGAAGGTCACCTTGTTGGGACCGGGCGGCAAGAAGCTAAAGAAACGCAAGACGGGCGTGCAGCGCAATACCGTTAATCCGGTCTTTAACGAGGCATTGGCCTTCGATGTGGGCAAGGAGACGCTCAAGAATTGTGTCCTAGAATTCAACGTGGTGCACGATGGCCTCCTCGGTGAGTCGCTGTCAAGGCGATGCTTGTGTAACAATTAACTAATGTAGTCTTTCAAACTAATTCAACTAGGTTCCAGCGAAATATTGGGTCGTGCTTTAGTTGGCAACTCGCCTGAGGTGCAGCACGAGGAGAAGATTTTCTTTGAGGAAATGTTTCGGGCCAAGAACGCAACAGCTCAGTGGGTATCGCTGCAGGAGCCGGTCAACAACTTGAGTGCCACAGCCAAGACAACAACCAAAAATTAGAATCCACAGAAGGCGCTGTGCTTTGCCTGTTAAGCTTTCTGTTATGCTTAACAGACAACTGTTGCGCCTAGCATTAACAGAGCAGACCTCCCCCCTCCATTCCACTCCCCCCACATACATTTCAACAAGGAGTTCATGTGGCTAAGAAATTTTCTGGGAATTTGCAGGGATACATTTAAGAAGGATGCTGAGCGCGTTTTCAAAATATTCAAAACTATTCAAGCATATAAATAAATATATTTATGTGTATATACAGTACGATCTCGATAAGGCGAACCAGGCAGTGTTTGAAAAAAATATGTGTGAAATCTAGAAGGGGATATATTTAGTTCCCAAATAATATTCATTTCAAATATTTATGCCTTAATATTTAGTGAATTTTTAATTTAAAACATTTTTGAACGGCTTTTAATTTTAATAAAATTTATATCTGTTTAATTTAAACTTTATTTTTATTTTAATATTAAAACTCGAAATTTTTTACGAGCTTTTGGGTTCCTGCTTAAAGTATTTAGTTAATTTTATGCCTAATTCAAGGAAGTTTTAATACTTTTAAGACATTTTTGAAGGGTTTCAACATTTTTGTAAAATATATTTGTTTAATTTAAGCTTTATTTTTATTTTAAGCATAATATTTAAAATGTACGAGCTGATTTATTTATTCAGTTCATTTTATGCCTGATTCAATTATATTTTTAATACTTTTGAAACACTTTTGAACGGTTTTTACATATATTTGTTTAATTACAATTTTATATGTATTTTAAAAATTTACGAGCTTTATGATTCGTTTATTTCATTTATTCTAGTAATGTGTTTATCGAAATGTAATAGAAATATAAATTAACGCGCTGTTTGCATTAACGAGATTGTACTGTAATGACAAGACAAACTTGAAAAACCCAAAAACTAAATAACTAAATGTGCTTTGCATGATATCAACTACAACTTTAATCAAAGAAAGTAAAAAAAAATATATATATTCAAACATATATTAAAAAATACTTATATGTGCTATGTGTATGTCAAGAGGTACCTAAGATGCAACTATATAATTTGCAGGCTATGTCAAAATTATATATAACAATATATATTTCTATAAATAATTGAATATATGAGATGAGGGCCATGAATGATAATATCTATTTAAGTAGATCATCTCAGCTTGAATTTACAAGTATAAAATATATACAGTTAATCGAAACCTACTGTAGAACAGCTTTTCAAAAATATATATATATTTGAAATTTCCTAAAACCTGTAATATGAAGGGTTTCAGTACACAACGGGCACAAGAGTTGAAACAAATCCTACACGTTTTATAATTTTTGCTGTTATAACACAGAACATTGGGCAGAAATAGAAATAAACGTATATCTTATAAAATAACTTTAGTTTTTGAGACAACAAGTCAATAGAATAGTTAAATAGATTGAATGCACTATGTAATCAACCAGCATGTAATAATACTATGGAAAATAAAATTCTCTATTACCTATCAAATATGTCTATTATAGAAAAACAAACTATATGTTTCTTAGATAACTCTTGACCAGGTTAAAATGTCTTTAGCACATCTTCTTATTCAAATATAAATATCTAAAAAATTTTGACTTACCGAAAAGTTCATATATACAGGCACGATTTAACTGTCATCTTTTAGTAGGAAGAAGAGCGGCTTTTATATATATAATCATCCCTAGAAGAGCAAAAGAAGAAACCGAAAGACAAATAAAATGAGAGAGATCGAGTTCAAGCGAGTTAGAAGGATTAAGAATTTAAACTAGGATCTACTTTAAGCCTTACTTGATTTCATGAGAATCGCAAAGTTGAAAATACGTCTTTATTGTAATCGCAGTCAGCGGAAACTAAGAATGGCGTGCTTCACCCGGCTTTGACCGGGCCAAGTTTTGATCATACTTCTTTATATTCTATTTTGAACCCATATAAATACCTAAATCTTTCCGAGATCCAGTTTTCTCTCCCAAAGTCCCAACTAAGTGTCTACTTTTATCACTACTAAGAAAAAGGGTTTCTGTTTCTAAAGATTTGGACTATACGTTGGTTATCAATCAGTAAGTTTGTCAAACTGTCAAACATGACAAACAGTTTTATCTATATATAGTGAAAAATTTCTCCATCTTCTTTAATGGGCAAAATAGCCGTAGAACAAAAACTTATCATCAGATGTGGCCATCAAGCCAAAAGGAATGCAGTCAAAGTCTGGACCCAGTCAACCGCCCCATTGGCGCGTCCTTTTTAGCTTGACTTATTTGGCAAATACTTTGCAACTTGTTGACCAAGTTGGCGTAAAAAAGTTTCTTCTCCCACTTTTTTTATTCTTGCAAGCCTTTAACTAATTTTGCAACATTGACTGATATTTCCACAGGGTGCAGGGCGACGCTAGATTGGCCGTTAAAGCAGGCATGCCGAACTGAATTGTTGTCTGTGTCCGATTACTTGTCTGACTCTTTGGTGTCCCTAAGTTAAACGTAAATTTCCTTTCAATCAAAATGTGCTTTCATTCAATTTAGTAGCGCTGTGGCAAAAGTAGCTCTGACTGCAATATAGAGTGAAAAGCCGGCTAAGAGCAAAAAAAGAAGGAAAAAAAGTAGAAAAAGGCAGCACCAACTTTGAACTATTGCCAAGAATTGATGGCGCCAAAAAGTAGACTACAGTAGTAGTAGCTGCTTATCGGCAAACGGAAACTCTGTCCCTTTCTCTCTCTCTCGCCCTTTTGTTCTCTCTCTCTCTCTGATAGATTGTCAGCTAAGCACTTATATAGAAAGATGTATTATGTGTATGCATGTGTACACTGCGTATCCTGGTTGGGTATGGAAAGTCAACATCGGAGATAGCCCCAACGACACCGCAAGTTAGGGAAATTGTTTGGCCAAATATTTGTCTGCTGCTTGCCAATCGGACGGTTAGTTGGCTTAAAGTGATATTTTCAGATATGGTTGGTAATAAAATTAGGCTGTGAAGCAGGACGAAAAGTCGAAAGTCGAAAATACTAAAGTTAAATGATATTGCGTACAAAACCGATTCAGAATCGTCACTTAACCGATTCGAAACTTTACCGTTTTAAGCTGTGTTAGCCAAATATTGTGAGCTAGTTTAAAATTCCCCCTTTTTAGTGAGTGGTGTTATTTTGTATAACCGATTCATAACCGTTTCAATGTCAAGCTTTCTTTCAGACAATTAAGCTATAACACGTTGCTCATTTTTATTGTGAGTCATAAATCCATCATCACCGATTCACTGAGCTTTACGTAAATGATTACGAATAGTCACCAAAAACCGGTTCATAACGGTTTCGATTGGCAGCGGTTGAGACTTGCCTTGCTAATTATATTTTATTATTTATTAATTTTTCTGTATTAAACCGGTTAACCGGTTCAGAGTCAATTCAATAAATATTGTCATAAAGTTGCACCAAATATTGAAGGGTACCTTTTAAATATAATTTTCTTGCGGCGAAGCCAAACGGTAATTAATAACCGTTTCGATTTATGGCGATTTTTTCGTGGTACTGTCCAAGCCCTACAGAGATCCATGACAATTATATACCAGAGCGCATTAGAGACAATTACGTGACAGCTTTAAAGTTAAATCGTGGCCCGTTGCATTGTTCGTGCTTATTGGATTTTGCCATTAATCCAAGCTGCGCTTCTGATAGGTATTTATTGGCCATTCAATATTTCAGCTATTTCTCATTCCCAATTCACATTTCACATTCACCATTCCCACTTACCCATTTAGCTATCAATTTTTCGCCAAAATACTTCGCATCAAAGTCAGTGCCAATAAACTGCAAGCGACTAACGAGCAAATTCCATTTTTAATTTCGTCATGCCACTGTCTGCTGCTTCTTTTTCTTCTTCTTTTTTTTCAACGCCACTTTATCCAATTCTTCGATGCTGCTTTCCTGCTTTGCTGCACTTTTCGGGTGCTATTTCGTTTTTCAAAGCTTGTCAGCGGAAAACGTAAACTAACGACATTTTCGTTTTCTTATTTACACAATCAATTTCGAGCTTTTGTGATGCGGCAAAAGGCGAACGGCAAATGCGGAAAGCAGAGCACGACAACAACAACAACTACTTCATGTTCATTCTGCTCACCCACACTCGCGCTCTTTCTTTTAGACTGTTGCATTTTTTGTTGTTCTCGTTTTTTCTTTAATACTCTTGCACAAAGTGGAAAAATGGTATATTGGTTGCCTGTTCGTTCTGGCTGTCTGTCCGTTATGAACCTCAGTCAAAACTGGAATGAGTATTACGCAGTCGGTCACACCTGACTGAAACATACATACATAAATGAATTTGTACTTACTTGCTGTTTTGTTTTTTTCGTATGTTACTCCCGTTGTTTCGTTAAGTTCGCCTTCGCATTCGCATTTGGTGTTGGCATTTTGTGCCGCGAGGGAAATTGTCGTCAAAGCGCAAAAAATGTTAGATTGTTGTTTTAGCAGTGCAGCCGGCTGCCCCGCACCCGCACCCGCACTTCATCCACACACATGTCGCTTATGGCCGTGCATTGCAATCTGTGTGCGTGCGTGTGTGTGTAAAGCTAGTAATAGTTCTAGTTCCAGTTTCTTGTTACATTTACTGTTTTTTTTCTCCTAAATTTGCCATGTCTCGCCCGCTCTCGTTCACGCTGCCATCTTTGTTTTGTGTTCCTTTTGATGTTGACCGCATTTGCTGGCTGCGCTCGCTTGCTTTCTCTCTCTCGCTCTGTCTGTTTTTTGTTGTTCTTTTTTTTTTTTGGTAGCCTTTATTGTTTATGCAACTGTCAGCAGTTTTCGTTGCCCGTTTCTGAGGAAGTTTTCGCTCACAATTGGAGATTTACTTGGCTGCCCCTTGTGTGTGCGTGCCTGTGTGGGTGTCTGCTTGTGTGTGTATGTGTGTTGTGTGTTTGGTTTGGCTCAGCTTACATGGACAATGTACACTGTGCGCGCGCGTTTCTCTGTGTTGCTTCATATTTGTTGTCATTTCCAATTGTTTCTACGACTTTTGACAGCTAGCAGATTAGCTTGGTGACGCCTCTGCAGATAACAGCAGCAGCAGCACGAGATGCTCGGTACGCTCGTTTGTTTATTGGCAGCGCCATCACGGCATGCGGCTAAAGAGATTGCCCTGGGAAATCAGCGATATATGTATATAGAGAGAGAGAGAGTGAGAGAGGGCAAGCGAGGTATGCTGCCTCACTCACAGTGTGGGGCCCACACACCGCCCAACTAGAGACCGGACAAAATAACAAATTGCGATTGCAGCTCGTTTTGGGCATCGAAATGTGTTTGTCAATTCGTTTGATTTCTGATTTCTCATAGTCAAATACATAATTCGCCTTTCGATTGGTTTGAGTAGAAGATATTGCGTATTATAATTATCTGTTTATTTTTCAATTAGGGACATTTTTATAATTTAATTTCAAATGACAAATGAAAAATATGATTGCAGCTCTTTTTCATCGAAATGTTTGAGCTTCCATTTATAGGCATCGATTCTTTTCAATTAAAAAAGATTGAACTTGTGTAATTATTTTTTGTTTTTTGGTATATTGCTCGGAAAATAATTCTTACTATCAAATTAAGTTTAACTAACCTTTTGTTTATGAATAAAAGTTATTTTCACAATAACTTTTAGGAAATAAATTTTCGTTATTCTTTCTAAATGGCAACTAAGCAGCGGTTGCAAAGCAATTATAAAAGCCATTTTCTGTGTCAACAACATGCATAGAGTATTTCGACTAAAAAGTGAAAAATGAAAATTAATTAAATTATTTGAAGCTAAGCAATGTCACATGTGCGGTTAGCTCATGTGCTCCGCACGGCAGCATAAAGCTCATCAATAAACAAAATTTATGGCTAAAACACAATTGCAGCGAACAAGGACAACAACAGCCGTAGCCAAAAATGGGGCGCCAAAAAAGCTATAGCCAAAGCCAAAGCCAATTAAAGACACGCCTCAACAGCAGCAGCAGCAGCAGTAGCAGCAGCAGTGGGCGTGGCACAGTGCTGTAAAACATCGGGAACATTTCCCATGCCCGGCCCCGCTCCCACAGAAAGCCGTTAACAATGTCAACTGGCCAACGAGCATTGGTGGGCCAGTTGGCTCCTGGTAGCTGGTGACGAGCAACCAAATTTCCGCACCCAATCAGCATATTTAAATTGTGTTGTGTTGGTGATTGAAATGCATGAAGTACGACACAACGTAACTAGGATAACACAACAACAGTTAGAAACAGTGTTGTTAAATTTTTAAATTTAGCTTCTTTTTTTAAAAACGATAAATTGAAAGCAACTTGACTTTCTTTTAAACAACTAGTTTCCTTTTTGCCTTTTCAATTAAAAAATTTCAAGACCAAATTTCCTACATAATAATTTTCAATATTTAATTATACCCAAAAATGTAGGTTAATTAAGGTTTAGACTAAGTGTGCCTTACGTAAATTAAATGAGAAACGATTTTCCATTTATTTTAATCTTTTTAACTTAAGCAATTGAAATGCACATAACAGAAAAATTGCAAAGGCTGTTTTCCGGAACTTCAAACATAGCTTTGGTTTCTTTGTCCCAACATTCCTTGAGAATTCACAGAAGCTGGCAACACTGGCTGAAGGCCACCGACCAGCTGAAGGACACATGCATATATATCAGAGGGACACACTGGCAAACATGCATTTTTAGTAACATCGGTAGCTTGGTGGCTTTTCCCACAGTTTAATGGCCAGCAGCGCTTCGATTTTGATGCTGATTCTCATAGCCATTCTCCATTCCCATTCCCATTGCTATTCCAATTCCAGTTGCTGTTCAGTGCTGTTTCAGCATTTTCGTTTTGATTGTTCGATTTTCTACTTTGCTGTGCATTTCCCTACCTAGTTTTCCTTTACATCTATTTTTATTTTGGATTTTTTTGTGCTTTCCTTTTTGTTTTATTGGCAGTTTGTGTGCCTGTGTGTTGGTCAACCACCGCAGCACTCTAATTGCCAGGCAACGACTGAGCTGGCAACACATGCGAAGGTGGCTACAAAATGGCCTCGGCAATGTCGGCTTTCCCATTTTTCGGATGCACACAAATCGTTTGAATATTGTTTTCCTTGCCTAGTTTTTGTTTGACTTCCCCTCCCCAAAAAACACACACTCAAAAAAGTACGAAGGCCTGTAGAGCTTAGAAAGAAAAAAAAACGGTCACACTGACCGGCGAACACTTAAAGCTATCCATTTTTAATTGGAATTTAGGCGCAAAGTCGTAAATATTTTGGCCATAGGCACATGGAACTGTCCCGATAGCACAACAGCCGCACGTATTCCATTTTCAGTGGATGCCTTCAAGTGGTTGCCGGCGAGTTTCGAGTATAGATATTGCAGTTTGAAGTGGTTAACAGCAGGTGGTGCGGCTATGCGGAACTGATAAATGAATCAAATATGTGTGTTGGCCAGCACAAACGATTCATAACATGCCCAAAAGCGGGCTTAAATCATGGCCAGAGCGTGGAGTAACTAAAGCCCTAGCTAGTAAAAAAATAAACACATGTTTTATACACCTGGCTAGAGTTGGGTGTGCGTAGAGCATCGATTCGTGACACGAATTAGGTATCGATCGTGTTCATCATGACCTTACATGCAAATGTGCCTAATATAAATTAACTAAAGTTTAAAATTGTATAAGATAAAATAGCTGATTTATTTTTAAGGCGTATATAATTAGCAACAATCCGCAAAAGTCGAAAGCTTTATTATTATCAATAAATATAAGAGAAACTACAACGTTAAATGCCATCTGCGTCTGATCGTGCACTCACCGTGGCCTTGCCAGTGCAATAGACATGCAGTATTTTTCAAGATTAATTATGCGTTTTTAATAAGATATTAATATCACATGCAATCGCAATATTAATACTATCTTTTTGGGATTTTACTTCAAGCGCAGTATTTTTAATTGATTTCTTATCGATTATCGATATTTGTGCTTTGATTTTTGCATGTTGCTTTTGATATCCATACGTAACGTCGCGATGACAAAAGAGAATGGAAAGAGAATGAAAAAAACGTTCGCGCGTGTAAATAGCAAAAGCGAATTGAGATCAGTTTGCAATTAATATAAATAAAGTTCAAGTGCTACGTAAACCTAATTAAGATAATGATCATACAAATATCGAGTGCGCAATTGAGTTGCAGCAAAAGTGCAGCGAAGTGTGTGTGAACATTCGAAAGCCGGTTCAAGCCTGCAAAAGACATTGGCCACAGCCCGTCAGGTTCGCTGCAGGACAAAATGCAAGGCGGCGCCGGCTCAAAACATTGTTGCCATGTTTGTGCAGTGCGTGTGGCGTGCGGCGTGCGGCTTTTGCCGCTTTGCGTGTTTCGTGTTCATGTGCCGGGCAGCCCCCCTCTCCCCGCACCAACCGAAAAGAGAGTGGGGCCAAACATGCCAAGTCGTAGCGTTGAAAATCTTAACGTGATTTAAGCCATCGTGACGTTGCCGGCAACTAAACTGAAACGAAGGCGGGCGCAATGCCAGCGTCGCTGACAGCACAGTCAGAGCAGACAAATGGTTGCGCGGGGGCGTGCGGGGTATGTGCGGCACGGGACAGTTGCTGTCCGCACAATTGGCACGTAGCTGCCAGCATGGCGCTGCATAAGCCCGTGCGTGTGTATGTGTGTGTGATCAGTTTTAAAGCAAAGATGGCCGCGTGACAATGTTTTTTTTTTCTTTCTAATGCGAGCACAAACTAGACGAAACGCACGACTTTTGCAATGTTTTGCATGTCGGTTTTTTTAATGTGCTTTGTTATGAGTTTATAGTTTTTTTTTTAAAGTGTTTATATGGTGCGGCTAAATAAACAAAAAAATTAGTTCAAATTCGAATTCTTTCATGATTTTCGTGAAAGAATATTTTAGTTTATATTATAATATTCTAGTAAATTTATTTAGCTTGTTTTATGTACTATAGTAGGCAAATTTTCTGTGTTGAGTTGTGATGGCATGCGCTATGCAAAAGATTTAAATTTTTTTAGCTCGCACATATCGTGCTAAGACGTGTTTGTTCGTGTCACCACACGCGCTCAACTCTAGTGGAAAGTGCCTTGCGTCGAGCGTTTCCCTCATATTTTGCCAAAACTCAACCAACTGCTTCAGTGCCTCCTAATCAGCAGCGTTCCACGTTGCGCCACGCTGACTTTGATGTACTTGCTATTTAAGTGCATAAGCGTCCAAAGAGCACGAAAGAGGGCAATAGTGGGAGAGAGAGAGAGAGAGAGAGAGAGAGAGAGCGCGGCACGGCTGGAGCAGAATGGAGCCTTCGCTCACACGTGACACAAATAGGTAATTGCTCTTTGACTATGGCCTAAAATGTGGGCCGCTCCGTGGCAATCGTATCAGTTTCCCAGCTTCTCTCACCCCCACACCCCTTCAAGTACCTACAAACTTTAAACTTTAATTCAATCAGATTTTGTTGTACATAACCGCAAAATGGCTGCGCAAAGGTCTAGTACGGGGTTTTTTTTTACAGTAGCTGCTCAAATATTTGAACTACCAGAAAATATACTTTGACAGGGACTTTAATAGAAATTTTAGAATGAATTAAATGCATAACTTTTATTCAAGAATAAAATATTTTATTAAATTAGCGATGCGGAATATGATATTAATTAATAATGCATTTTTTGCATTATGGATAGAAGCGCTATCACAAACAGTTTTAGTTGGCGAGTGACCACTGTATTTAGATTAAATATGTTTTTCACTTTTGAGTAATTCACAATGTGTTTGCAATTAATTTAATTATGTGTGCACAGAAGCAATGCTAATTGAATTACCTTATGTTTTTTTCCACAAATTAAAGCGTTAATGCCGCAAAAATAAAAAATATTTAATAAAAAATGCATATTAAAGCCCGTGTCACGATCACGCACGAATAAAACACGCGTTCGGTTTAGAAATAAGCAAAATTGACACACGTTGAAAAAATAAAACGAAAAAAGTGTCGCCAAAAATCGATGTACAAAAAGTGTGCACATCTATTTGAATATCTTTCCGGGCTCGTGTCGTGACGTGCGTCCTTTTCTTTTTATAAATTTTTTTCTGGTGTGCCAGCAATGTGTTTCGATTTGTGTGCTGTCGCGTGAAAAAATCTTTGACAGCCGTGAAAATCTCCAAAAATGTGCAAGTTTATTCGTAAAAAGTCTGGCTGGAATGAGATATAAAAAGTGCAGTTCTATGTGATATTTAAAGAGCTCCAAAAAGAAATGTTGAAACGGAAACTAGCTGAGATGTTGACTTGCTGTTGCAAGGTAAGTGAACAACGTTTCCACTTAAAAGTGCGGAACATACGTGATT